CAAGTCACTCATAGCTGATGTGTAGATTTTACTACTACTGTTACATTTTACTTTGTCCTCTCTTGGCATTCTCACTTAGGAGGTGTTTGTACCCAGCCCTGCCTCTAGATGAGAGCTCTCCATGTTGATCGCCCACAGCCATACCCTTTAGTACAGTGTGAAGAGCTCTTAGGTCCAGGGAGATTTGCTTCCCTTGAGTTTTGCCTCCCCATACACCTTACTGCTACACCCTTCCCCCAACCCCACGCATCCACACCCCACAAGCACACAATATGTGTGTGCACACAACACACACACACACACACACACACACACACACCATGCTCTGAATATTCAGAACCCAAATCCCTGAATGATAGGGACTTGCATCTGCATCTCTTCTCCATCTCCAGCTCCTTGTATCAGCTCAGCCCTGAGGATCACCAAGGAGCAGCTGTTGATGGGAATGTGGACAGAACTTCAGTCTTCTCCCAAGGTCTTCTCACAGTTGTGGGTGAGGTCCCTCATGATCCGCCCCCCAAAAAGTTAGACTAGAGTATAAAGCAGATGGGGGCACACCTCAGAAAGAGGGACCAGGCACTGCCAACTGCTGACTCTTCCCAAACTCATGTTCCGGTACAGAATGCCAAGAAATGCTGCTACGAAGGTATATTGGTCAAGGTAGTAACTAGGATATATTTCCTCTGCCAGTTGTTTTACTTGTTTTATGACTGTCAAACATTTAGGTGTTAGTTAGGTGGGCTTCCCTTAATACTTTTGCCCAGACCCTGTGTATTTTGTATCTTACGGATCTATTTCCTAATGGAAACAAGGATTTTGTTCCAGCTGGATTTTCTCCTGTTTTCTTAAGGACAGCTTACGATCCCCTGTGGTTATTTCCTGAAACTTGTAAAATACAACTTGTAAAAGCCCTGCTGTTCACCTGTGAGTTCTATGTGCTTATAACGGATGTGAGAACATCCATTTCTCCATCCCCAGGCAGCCACAGTTACATAAGCTAACAAGCTTGTTTCACATAGTCTTAGCTTGAGGGTGGAGCCTTTGTGTGTGCCAACATCATTATCATAAAAGGCTTCTTCTGAAATTCCCTATGTTCATTCCAAGAGACTGACCATGTTCTGGACTGCATGCTGTAGACATCAAGCTGAAAGATCCAAAAAACTGAGCTATTGTTTAAATCGTAGTTGCCCAAAATGGCTCTTTCAGTTCAAATAGTAGCAGAATCCCACCCTCCCTCACACTGGTGAAATGTTGTCGTCTCTCTTAGCGATTATAGAGATGGCTGATGCATTATGATACACCCATCACCACACCTACAGAACATCAAACAGAAAGGCTGTGAAGACCTTGGGGACCCTCAGAGCAAACGTCTCCCACGTATAATGCTCTGTAATTGGTCTTCCTCTCTTCAAAAACCTTATGCTAAATAGAAATGCAGGGAGCCCAGCCTGGTAGCCTAGTGGCTAAAGTCCTTGCCTTGCATGCACCAGGATCCCATGTGGGCACTGCTTCCCATCGAGCTCCCTGCTTGTGGCTGGGGAAAGCAGTCGAGGACAGCCCAAAGACTGGGGATCCTGCTCCTGCGTGGGAAACCTAGAAGCAGTTCCTGGCTCCTGCTTTGAATTGGTGCAACTCCGGCCATTGCACCACTTGGGGAGTGAATCAGCGTACAGAAAACTTTCCTCTCTCTATCTCTATCTTTCTCTCTCTCTCTCTCTCTCTCTCTCTCTCTCTCTCTCTCTCTCTCCTCTTCTCTGTGTATCTGACTTTCCAATATAACTAAATAAATCTTTGAAAAAAAATGCAGGCCCATGGATATGGGAGAGGTGGGGTGGGGGACAGAGTGAGCAAGTGCATGACTTCATACACAACAGAAGCAATGTTTCTCCTTTGCATCAGAACACTAACCTTAACAGCTTCCCACCCACTCCATCTCAAACCCCGATTAAATTTTAATCTCAGTGATCACAAACGCAAAGTGCTTTCTTTAAGCGCCATTATTTCTGGTCCTCCCCGGTGCCCAGTTTAATAAGCACACACAGGAAAAGATGTCTAACAGTGACTGGAGGAGCTTATTGACTTTGGAAAGGGGAGTCTTAACATCAACAAGGGTGATAAGTCACTGGAGGAAACAAATCCCAGCCATCCACTCGGCCTGTTTATATGGATTCAATGTGTTGCACCACAGCTCAGCCCAAATCCAAGTTTCCAATTTCAATTCCTGCTATTCAACATGCTTGGTTTTTTTTTTTATTCTTAAGACATGTCAACAGACAAAATTTACTTCCTCCATTCAGATCTGCATTCATTCATACGTTCATTTGACAAACATCTGTTGAATAATAGCTTCAGAGTGCTTGACTTGCAGGCACCCACAGGTGTGTGAACAGATTGTTTTAGTAATGATAATGAGTTTGTGACAATAAAGGTATAAATAGCATGGAATGAACTCCAAAGAAGTTCTGCTGCTTGGAAGAATTGGATGAGCTATCTTATAAGAGGCAAATCTTGAATCTTGAATGAATCACAAGAATCTGAACCTTGAATCTTGAATGAATCACAAGAAAAGGGACAGATTAATTGGGCAGTTAAAATTTAATGGGGTACTTCTTGAAATATGCTCTCCAAAAGCTTATGATTTTCATGAGCACAGAAAGAGGGCTGGTGGCCCGGTGCTCAACAGGCAGCCTGTGGACTGTTACACGTAAAGAGAAAGAGAAAGAGTAAACTTAACTCTGACTGATCAAGGGACCAGTAGTCCAGCAGGGCAGATGAGATGATAAGCAGAAGGGAGAAGGGAGAAGGCTCTGGGCTGGCTCTGGGCTATTCCACTGTGCCCTAACCCATTGTTCATAGATTAACTAGTGGCCTCCAATGCACGGCTGGGGTGGGCACCAGCTGTTGAGAAAGCCAGTGGTGCCGTTGTGTGCATTTCACCCTGCACAGCTGCACAGCCTGAAGATGACGTGTGTCTCACGTGCAAACCCCACTGCAACTACTGCCTTGATTCACATCTTGAAATAACTCCTCATCACTGAATGAGTATTTTAAGATACCACTTTCATCAAGAAGGTTCCATTAAAACAATTCCAGTAGAGTGAATAATCATTATTCCCTCTCATCAGGCATGCTTGTCATACAGAATTATGATGAGTTCAAGTTTCACTGTTTTTAGCACTCTGGCCTAAAAGAGAGAGAGAGAGAGAGAGAGAGAGAGAGAGAGAGAGAGAGAAATACAGAGACAGAGGGAAAGAAGGAAAAGCCCTAAGAGAAATGATCCTGCATCAGTGTCAAAAAGTTGCTCTCTGCATTTTTAGATCTGTCGTTTCTGGGTCAGCGATTCTCTTTATGGCTTTCCTTATCACAGGTTTTTTTTTTCTGATTTCCCGTTTCCTAGCAAGCTTTATATAAACTCATTTTGTGTTTCCTTAAGCCATTCAGGGCTGAACTTTTACCCTTTTTGAAAGCCAATGTTTTTTCTGCACCTTCTTATTCATCAAACCTAGGAAGGTCACAGTTACTCCAAATGTTTTGACAACCTTCAATTATTCGCACTTAGGGGGTTAAGAAAAGGGCATTCAAGCAATCTTGGATAATATTCAATAGCATTCATTCCCCCTTTGTGTATTTGCCCTTGAAATCTATTTAAATCTTATTTTTAGGACACTAGCCTACTTCATTTGAATTTGTATGCATATAATAGAGAAACAGCAAAATTTGCAGGGATAACTCACCAACATGTGGGTGACAGAAAGTTGATATAACTTTTCTCTAACAAGAGCAACTTATCACAAGGACACACTAAATAAGCCATAATCTAGTTAAGAAATAAAAGAAATTCTAGCTGGGAAAGGGAGCATATTCTATAAACCTGACTCACAAAGACTTAGGTTTCACTACTACAATTATGAAGCATTTATTGAGTAGCTAATGTATGGAAGATGCTGGAGATTGGAAGAGGCAAAAGGCATTGTCCTGTCTTCTTTCGGGTTTAAATTGTAAACACAGTATGACGAGAGCCCAGGCATATCTTAAGAATTCCCAGTAGGAGCAATCCTAACTGCACTATGTCTGAGAGAAGTGCTCAGTTCGGATATAGAAACGTATGATGAAGAAAGCAATGTGTGAAGATGGGAAAGCAGTGTTCCAGGAAGATAGCCCAGCATGTGCAAAGGCGTGGAAATAAACAATGTATTGAGGGAGGCAGAGTCCCATGATATGCACTACGGGGAACGCAGAAGGAAAATGGCAGGGTTGAACCTTCCAGGAGTGGTTTAGATTCCTCTATGGAGCACCTTGATGCCATATGAAAAGGATTTTACATTGTAGGTGACAGGGCATCCCTAAACAGTCAAGTTTCATTTAAACTTTAGAATAGCAGCTGGTGTTGTGACAGGTTCAGCCTCTGCCTGTGTTGCTGGTATCCCATATGGCTAAATAGTTGAATTCCCAACTATTTCACTTCTTGATCCAGTTTCCAGCTAATAGACCTTGGAAAGTGATGGAAGATGGCCCAAGTGCATGGACTCCTGCACCCATGTGGGAGACCCAGAGGAAGCTCCTGGCTGCTGGCTGTGACCTGGCCAAGTCTTAGTGTTGTAGCGATTTGCAGAGTAAACCAGTTCTCTCTCTCTCTTTCTCTCTCTTTCTCTCTCACACACACACACCCCTACCTTTGTAACTCAGCCTTTTAAATAAATAAAAATAAATATTTTTAAAAAAAATAAGTAGGGCCCCACGCAGTAGCCTAGCAGCTAAAGTCCTCACCTTGCATGCACTAGGATCCTATATGTGGGCCAGTTCTAATTCCAGCAGCCCCACTTCCCGTCCAACTTCCTGCTTGTGGCCTGAGAAAGTAGTTGAGGATGGCCCAAAGCCTTGGGACCCTTCACTCATGTGGAAGATCCAGAGGAGGCTCCTGGTTCATGGCTTCAGATTGGCACAGCTCTGGCCATTGCCACTTGGGGATTGAATCAATGCGTGGAAGATCTTCCTCTATGTCTCTCCTCCTCTGTGTATATCTGGCTTTCCAATTGAAAAAATCTTAAAATAAGTAAATAAATTCTAGAATAATAATTTTGCAGTGATGTAAATGATGTCTAAGAGGAAAGTACAGACAGAAACCAGGAGACAAAGATCTTCTGGTCCAAGATAGCAGAGGTGCCACTATGGGGAGATGCAGTCCAGCTCCAACTCGAATGCATTGGCACCTGACAGAAGAATGGGCATGAGGTCGATGGGGAAGATGAGAACACCTCCCAACCCTCAGTGGTTTTCAGTACTACAACCAGTTCTCAAAGTCCACAGGTTAAAACGTCTACTGCCCAGGCCCTACTCCTGCTGCCTGCCAGTGCTCCTTTGCCTCCTTTTAGAATTGGGTAACTTATCCCAAGAGCTCTTGGAGGACACAGCCTCATTCCACATTGTGACACTTGGAGGCCTGGAGCCCTGTCAGGTGTAAGATTTGTGCTCTTTTCTTTTGAATCCAGTAAACTTAATGGTGTTGTGTTAGAAGAAAGATCTAGCCTTTGCTACCCAAGAAGTTCAGAGAGGAGCAAGACAGATAAAACAGTAATTACTAACCCAAGCAGAATGACAACCCAGGAGCTGGGGGACCATGGAGAGAAGTTTGGAGAATTCAGGATTTCACAGAAAGGGAGGCACTTTGGTGAGGCTGATGGTTTTTATTGAACTTCTATCACTACAAAGGCACTGAGAATAACACAAGCATTCAATATGTAATTATAAGCAGAACGAATGCTGGGAAAGAAAAGTACAGAGTACCATGGAAATGTGTAACTCGGAGATTAGTCAAAAGGATCAGGGGAAGCTAAGACAGGAAATGTGGGCAGATACTGGCATAGGAAAGAGTAGGAGAGGCCCAAGGAGGGAAACACATGTTTGTTGCTTAATATGAGAAAATATGGCATGTTTAAGGAACTGGAAGAAACTGAATGTGGCCTGAGCAACTGGGTAGAGGAGGGAGAGGGACCTACAGCAAAACAGAGGGACCAGAAAGTAGAATGTGGATAGTCCATTAGCCTTGGAAGGTTTTGGAAACTTGTCCTGAGGGGAATAGGGAGCTACTGTGATGTTTAAACAGTAGACTGCATAATTGGAAAAGACAAGACTGAAACAGGGACTCACTAGGCAAGCTATCAGAATGGCAAAGTGAGAGGTAACAGAGGAACAAAAAGAACCAAAGTGGAAGACTCAGACAGGACCAGGTGATTAACTAAATGTGAGAGGTGGGAAAAGAGAAGTCAGGAATGGACCTTGGGTCTCTAACTTGAGAACAAGAATAGGTGTAGTGTCATCAACCAGGAGAATCTGTTGAGTGATCCAGAGAGAATGACCGTCAATAAACCCATTACTTAGACTATGGTGGTTTGAGTGACTTACTGAGTAAAACTTACTGAGTAAGTTTTAGACAGGTTACCAATTCTATCCTGAGCCTCACCTGTGAATTGGAATGATTATATTGTATGTAGATCCGCATTTAAATGATTTGTCAGTACCAGCCATTATTGTTCAGGAACATGAATAACTATTAGGGACTTAGTGGAAATAGAACTAGTGATGAGATAACAAGTGAACAGGGACTTTGATCCAGCGGGAAAGTGAGACGGAAGATAACAGAGTTGGCAGGGAGGAAGCAGAGAGGACACCAGAGAAGGGTAGATTGTCTTTCAAGGACATGATTCAAAGGACTGGAGGTGTGGCTCATGCAATATGACAGAGGACAGGTGTAGCTCTTGGGAAGATGCAGGAAGAGCTATGGTGAAAGGCGAGCCTGTAGAGGATATCACATTAATGAGTTGGGTATTTAAATTTTATTCTGCAAATGTAAAGGAACCGTTGTAGTTTTAAAGAGGTGGAAAGTTTAATTCAACTTGTTTTTAGGAAAATTAACAATAGAGAGAAAAATGGGTCATGAGGAGAAAGATTTAACAGCCATCTGCACTGTGGTTGCTGATGGAGGAGTTTTAATATAGGGCAAAAACTCCACTTGTAAGCATTTAACTTCCATGACATTGCCTCATCATGACTCAGTTTACCCATCAATAAAATGGAGATGATGATATTTCTCTCTATGAAATTATCATGAGTGCTGTCATTTATATCAAGTGGAATGGCACTTAATATTCAGTAAGAGCTTCTATCAATAGCCTTCCCAATCTCTGGCTTCCTCCTGTCCCTACACTCTCAGTTGTGACCCAAATTTCTTACTCTCCTCTGCTGTTTGAGAAACACAGATCTGTCTTACTAGCTTTGTTATACTGAAGGAAAACAGCAATCTTGTCTTTCAGAAAAATTCCTCTCAGGAGTAAGGCTAACATTTCATCACTGTTCGGACTCTGGTTTTGCAAATGGACTTCTTTCCATATACCAAGCTGTCTCAGTGGAATTTGGGGCTGGGCAGTGGCAAAAAGTATCACTTTCCTACTGTTTGTAACATTTACCTGCAAGTAGGTAACACAGTCTTCCTGGGCAGAGAACCCTGATGCCATTTCTTTAGTTTGTTGGCTGGAGTTCTCCTTTCATCCTCTCTCATGAGAGCGAATCCAGTTCCATTCATTTCTACCTAGAAATAACGGACTTCTGGAAGAGCTGTGCTATGGATTTTACTTGCTTAAAGCCATATGTTCCATGCATCCTGCCATCCTCACAGATGCCATGATTCCATTTTGTTTTATTCACTCAATAAATATTTATTGAGTTTATGCCTGTGCCTGGCGTCCACCGTGCAAAGAGGATTTGCAGTAGTTTGCTCTGTATTCCAAATGCCCCCATATTGTGTGGCAAAGCAAGCCCTAGAGATATCATTTCAGTAAATGGTGAGTAGGTTAAGTAGGAGCCACTGATGGGCTGGGTTAGTAGGTCAGGATTAAGTGCCTGCAAAGAAATGTTTCCATAAATCTGACATTTGCACTGAGTCTTGAAATGTGAGCTCATTTTCCCAAGTGAAGAGAAAAGGAAAGGCTTGCTGATCAAATACTTGTTGGAGAAAAGAGCGGCTGGCTCTGAAGGGGTCAACCATTGGTTGTCCATTCGTAAACCACTGGCTGTTGCTGAGAGCTCAGGACAGCTGTTTCTGTCCATTCCCCACTCTGCATCCATGGGCCATCTCAAGCCCTTCCTATAAAATGGTATACGATTTTCACAGAATCAGCACACTTCTTCCTATATATGTTATATTACCTTGAGATTACTTATGATAGTTAATAGATTGCATATATGCTGTGAGTCACTGTTGTACACTATTGTTTAGGAAATATGAACAAGAAAAAAAATTCTGTACCTGCTGAATACAGACACTAGTTTCCAAATGTTCTCCATCTGCTGTTGGCTGAATCCCAGGACACAGAGCCTGTAACACAGGAAGGGCTGATTGTATGTCCTGTGTGTGGTGCTAAATGTTCCATGTTTTGTTTCACTTTGACTCACAGGATTACCATGTAATGTCAGTCCTGTCATTATTTTTATTTTATATGGAGTATAGTTGCTACTTACAGAAGTGGAATAGTCTGCCTGCCATCACACAATGATAAGCTAGAGTCTGAACAGAAGCTGTCCACTCCAGAGTTGACATATGAGCCTGCCAGGGCACCATACATGCCCAAAGCAGGGGATGTGGTGGGATACAGGACAAGCTGAAGGCAGAAAGATAGTACCTGAGGTACTATATACTAAGCTAGGTGTTGTTTCAGACAAATGTCTTAGCATGATTATTTTCTATGAAATTCAGCTGTGCCATTGTCAAGTGAAGTTGAACTGATTATGTCAACTATCTTTTAGCAGAAATCTTGCATTTAGTGAGAGATACTAATTATGCAAATGAAATGAGTGGATTGGAATTAATAATCTATTTTTAAACAAATTGTTCTTAGGGACTTTGATTCCTGCATGCTTAAAAATATATGCTGATATCTAAGCAGATTTACAGTCATCAAAGCAAACCCTGTTAATGTCAAAATGCTTCCAAGTTAGTAACCCTTTTCACCTCAAAAGTTGATGACTTATTTTCCATTGAAAAATTTCAGGGATTCAGGTTGACCTTCTCCTCTCAGCTAGTCAAAGAACTGAAGTTGTGACGATGGGTGATTGTGATTTCTATGGAAACTTGCATGGAAAAACAGATGTTTATTCAATCTCCTTTCAGTTCATAGAACATTTTTTGTGTCCTTTTTCTTCTTCCTTTTAGTGAACTGTAAAAATTTTCAGCATATCCTAGTACAGTTTTATCCATGAAGAGCTTCAAGCAGTAAAACCAAACCCAAACAAAGATATAAATCCTCAACAACAGCAGTACTGCGTTGGCTGTTTACTAATAGGTAAACATTGGGGTTACTTGGGTTCATGTCCTGTGTCAACCAGTGAGCATAACCAGAGGTCAGGTCTGCTTCATTTCAAGCAGAAATCTTCATTTGAAGATCCAAGTTCACAAAGCAGTTCATCCATGTCCCATTCCATGGGAACAGTGGAGTAAGTCACTGAACATTTCAAACTGACGATCTGCTATTCCTTAAGTAGCAGATGACCCATTTGGATGATGAGCCCAGGGACAGTCTGCTTAGCACAAGAGGCTGGCTGCTCCTTTTCTCCCCCCAAGGTCCCACGAACATGAACTTTCTGAACTTTGTGGCCTGGCGGCCTCGAGGCCTCTTCTGGAGTCAGCAGCCCTGTGTCACTCCTCCCCTCCCTCCCGCGGGTTCGGCTTCCTTTTGCTGATCAAAGAAATCAGCCTTGAGCAATCTGCTGCTGTTTCACTCAATCCAAGCTGTCCAAGTCCCCAGGAACAACGCTGCTTCCTACTTTAATAACACGTCCCTGCTTGGAACCCAGGCCTCTTCCAGCACTGACACACTGGCACGTGGCCTGTCTAGCCCCACAGTGTGGTAGAATCTGAGCCGATCCTGGGAACTCATGGGGTCCAAGGTCATCTCAGGCATCTGTTTCCTCTCTTGGACTCTTCCTCACTTGTCAGTCAATGAGACTCCAATGAGCTTATCCTCTGACCTTATGAGGCATTCCAGGCAGAAAGGGTCAGTGGAGACTTTTCTGCAAGAGGGAAACATTTGGAAAGAAAAACATCTTCCAGACCAAAGAAGCCAAACAGCCAAGGAGAAGAACAAGCAGTACTCCCATGCAGTCTCTCATTTCCATCCTGAAGATCTCCAGGAAAGGAAACTCCAGGGTATTCCCTGAACTTAACCCATCCTCTTTGCTGTGGCCTCTGATGTCCCATTTCACAGGTCTCAGCTGTTAAATATGTGAAACCCAAAAGGAAGAGAATTGTGAAAAAGAGGTCATGGTGTGACAGTAGAAATGCTGGCCTGACGGAAAAAAAATCCAGTCTGCTCTTGCTGTTGGGTCTCTTCCTTGCATCCGTCAGTCACATGCACACTACAACGGCCTTGTTTCTTATTTCTTTTCACTTCTAAAATTTGTTCATTTTTATTGGAAAACAGATTTTTTTTGCTGGGAGAAGGAAAGACACAGAGAAAGATCTTCAATCCACTGGTTTGCTCCCCAAATGGCCACAACAGCCAGCGCTGAGCCAATTCAAAGCCAGGAGCCAAGGGCTTTCTGCAGGTCTCCCACACAGGTGCAGGATCCCAAGGTTTAGGGCCTCCTCTACTTCTTTCCCAGGCCATCAGCAAGGAGCTGGATGTAAAGTGAAGCAGCTGGGACACAAACCAGTGCCCCTATGGGATGCTGGCACTTGCAAGAGTGAGGATTAGCCAGTTGAGCCATTGTACCTAGCCCTGGAGCCCCATTTCTTAGGCTAGTCCGTGAGGGCTGCCTGGCAAAACCCTCCAGCCCCCTAGAACCCTCTGTTGTAGCAAGACCTCACAGAGGCCTCTCCTCAGCCCTACAACATTGAAGCCAAGTTTCTTCCCAGGGTCACTCCTGATGGAAAATATTTGTAATCACTTTTCTCAGGAAGGCAAGCATGTTAGATTCCAGAAACATCACTCACACCTGGAAATGCCCACTACCTGTGGTTCGCCCTAGTCTCTCTCTCGTAAGTACCTTGGACCATTTAAACATTCTGAGTGTCACTGCTGAGCCCAGTGAGTATGCTGCAGGATGCAATGTCTGATCAACAGAGCCAAGTGGGTGCCCCCACCCACCAGGCCCATGCTGAGTCTCAGTGTCCCCAGCCAGAGGTAGCACTCTCTTCTCTCTTTACTCTTCTTGCCTTTCAGCTCCCTTCTAACTGTACATTTCATTCTGGAGGGTCACACATTCTTGGCTCCATCTTAGGAACTCTCTGTGTTCCTAGTCAAAATGAGAAGGTGGTGATCATCTTGACGATGAGAGATGGGATCCTGAAGTTCACTTTTGGGAACAAGTAACTTCGTTTCTTTGCTCTCAACTTCATCGTCTCTAAATTGGGTGTACCTTTAGCCTCCTCACAGCTCTACTGATGACTGAAGGCGAGGCTAATTCTAGAAAAATGTTGCAAAGCAAACCCTTGCAGGCAAGGATTTGAATCCTAGAACGCAGGTCTCTGGTTTATAGCATTTTGAAAGCAAGGTAAGGATCAGGACACAAAAGTCCTTCCTCTGCAAAGAAGCTTGACTGAGTGAGTAGCAGGGAGCCTGAAGGGGAGCAGCAGGGGCCAGTTAGTACAGGAGGGTTTTGGAAGACTATGTTCCTAAGGAGAAGCACTGAGTCTCCCTCCCAGAAAGTCACTGGCGACGGGAGATGTACAATTTGACCTTAGTGGCTGCCAGCAACCTTCCCTGCTAACACAGTACTACTCCAGACCTGGGCCAACACAAGACCACAAGTAGCTGCAAAGAAGACAAGGCGCCAGCAAGATGGCCCTCCTGAATCCAGCCTGTGCATCTGGGCCTCTTTGCTGTGGGTCTCACTTCAGCAGTCCCTCCCTAACCCTCCCCTTGCAGGCTTCCTGTTTTGAAACCGCCAATAGATGGAAAATGTGAGTGCTGCTGCTTGAACGGCTCTGGCTGTGTGAGTGTGGTGTGTGCACATGCATGAAGCTGCATGTGTCAGTATGGTAGCTTGTGTATCCTGGATGGGGGTATGAGCATGTGAATGTGTATGTCGAGTGGTACACAGGTGTGTGTTGTGTTGTGTGTTTGAATGGGTCATCTGTGTTGCTGTTTAGGTGTTCTGATGCGAGTGTGTGATTAATCATGTGGCTGTGTGTGTTAGATAAGTGTGATCATATGTGGGGCTGTGTACTCAAATGTGTGAGTATGACTGTGCAGATGTGATCATGTGTGTTGAGGTGCTCATGTGTGTAGCTATACTATGTATGGAGTCGACTGTGATTATGTGTATTTTGTGTGGGTGTGATCATGCACATGATTATGTATTTGTGTGTGACTGTGTGACTCTGTTGTTTGATCATGTAACTGCACATGTGACTGTTGTGTGAGTATGATCATGTGTATTGATGTTTGTGTGACTATATGCATATTATGTGAGGGAAATCATATGTGTGAGACCAGGCATGACTATGATCATGTGTGTTGATATGCTTATGTGTGGGCCTGTACTGTGGTGTGCAGTTGTGTGTAATTCTGTGTATTTGTATGGGTGTGATCATGTGCATGCCTGTGTATTATGTGAACTGAGTGTGATTGTGTGACTGACCATGTGTATAATTATGTGAGTGACTGGATGTGTGTAACTGGATGTGTGTTGTGTGATCATGTGTATGACTGTGTATTGTGTGGGTGAGATTATATGAATGATTGTGTGTGACTGATAACCTGTGTGACTATGCATGCTGTGTGAGGGTGATCGTGTGCATGGATGTATGTGTTGTGTAAGTAAACATGAGTGAGTGCACAGCATGGCCTGGAGACAGGCAGCTGAGGTGGAGGCTTGCCCTGCAGGGGACACCAGATTGGTCATGGCAGGGTGGTGAAGAACTGACCGGCACAAGGCGGAATCAGTAATGTGAGCAGCTGACGGCACAGCAGGGAGAGCCGCCGAGGCCGCTCCTGCCATGTCATCTCTCAACTGACACAAAGGTCCTTTTACGTTATAAGCTTTCAAATGGGAATAATTTCTAAGTCCTCCAAGCATGATGAACAGGCAATGAATCTCCACCAGCTCTTCATGGCAGTCCTTAGCACAGCTCCTGGCAGGTGGCAGGCATGGGATCAGTTCACACAGCAGGCATTCATGGGTGCTTCCTGTGGACCAACAATTGTTTGAGGCTCTTGGAATACAGTTCATGTCATAAAATCCCCTGCTCCCTGGTTGCTCTCAGTTCTGGGGATGGGCAATGGCCACACACACACACACACACACACTAATGCATAAGGCACTGTGACCATTGAGTGGAACAACACATTCCCTTGAAGACTTTCCCCATAACTTAGTAGATGACGCTGTCTATAGGCCATAAGACCATAATCAATGTGCATTGTTTTATTTACAAAGATAACACTGCTGACACAAAGGTTTGTTTTGTTTTGTTTTTTTAACACAAAAACGGGTCCCTGTGAAAAAATACAAATGAGCGCACGCCCTTTCTCCCTGCCACATGTTCCCTCACTCCTCACTGACCATCTTGTAGCTTCTCACACCTTGGCTCCCTGCCCCCATCACACCTGCTATTCCTTTTCCCTTCTTGTCCAGATGGCAAAACTCCACTCAAGCGTCAAAGCCCCGCTCAAATACTTCTCCCACTGTGAGAGAGTTACTTCTTTTAAGGACTCCACCTGCATGCTTTACAATGACCAGAGGGACACGTGCCTCGCAAGCACTGTGTGCCCTCAAGACCACACTCGTTAAGGCCACAGGTGGTTGTCTGATCTCTCACTGCATTTCCCAGAGCCTGGCAAAAGGTGTCAGCACATCCAGGATGCATGCAAATGAAGGGGGTGGGACAGATAGATGTTAGGTTAATGTTAGGCTATTTTTCCACCTTCACATAAGGAAGATACGCAGTCCATCCGTCATAACCACAGGCTCCATTTCTGTGAATTCAATCCAGAGAAAATCAAAAATATTTTTAGAAAAAAAACGCATATGTGCTGAGCATATACGGATGTTTTTCTTGCCATTATTCAACAACAGTACATATGATCTGTTTAAACACCACTTATACTGTATTAGGTATTACCAGGAATTTAGAGGTGATTTAAACTATACAGGAAGATGCGCTTAGGTTATCTGCAAATACTACACCATTTTCTATGAGAGTGGTGCACCTGCAGACATCATACCCATGGAGCTGCTAGACCCAATGCCCCGTGAATACCAGCGAGCAGGCACACACTAAAGAGGCCGCAGCTCAGGCCTAGAGGTGTGGACCAAGGTCCATGGATGGTGCTACGGATAGAGTCTAATAGTGGCTGCCACAACCTCTGAGCTGCTTTTGTATTTGTAAAAATGATCAGAGGTTCAAATAGGAACTTGCATCTCTGCTGACCACAGAGCTCTTTCTATAAGTGATGCTTCAGGCCCATTGAGTAGACCGGGGGAGTTGGGACATGGTTCTCATTAAAAAAAAAATTAAACGTGGCTTTAGTATGAGCAAACTCAAGCCACATGCTGTCCAAAGCATAGAATATTGCCTTGGGCTGATTAACATTGGCCAGAAGGAACAAGAACCTGAGAGTCCTGGAAATGGGGGGAATAGATATGGGAGAAAACAGAGCAAGACTGGTGAGTGCTAAGAGAATGGTAGGAAGAGCCATGGGCCCTCATGGCCACTCTGCTAGTAGAATTCATTCATTCTATCCTCTTCTTGGTAATATTGTAGGACATTGATTGTGTGCTGCATCCTGTAAGCACAACATTAAGCAGATATAGGGTTGATCTTCAAAGAACCTACAGGACCCTGGGAGGCATAGACAGGTATGGGACGGACCACAAGGGGAGATTTATGCTTCAGAAAGGAAGTTCTGGAAGGACCCTACTAAGTAGGTGTGAAGTTTTGGCTAAGTCTTAAAATCATCCTCTAAGTTAATTAGGCAGAAAAGAGGATGGGCAGACAACCCCAGCCCTCTGTGCAAAATAGGTTTCACGGAGAGGTCAACAGTCTGTTGAGGCAATTACAGAGGTTCTGTGACTAGAGTGGAGGCTATGTGGTGAGGGCATTGGCAGGAGAGGCTATGAGGCTGACCAGAGCCAACACTACCTGTAACCAGTAACCCTGGAAACTTCCAGAAGAGTTGAAGCCAGACAGTTGGCACAACCAAGAGTGACACCTTAGGAAGATGACTCAACAGAGGGTGGCCTGGGAATTGAGGAAGTGGAGGAAGGGTGAAGCTCAAGAACACCTACAGGGTGAGGCCCAGCACCAGTTCCACCTTCCAGCTTCCCGATAATGCTGACCCTAGCAAGTCACTGGCAATGGCTCAAAGTGATTGTGTTTCTGCCACCTGCATGGGAGACAAGGATTGGGTATTGTTAGCAGTGAACTGATGGTGTGTTTCCTTAAGAACCTGGTTTAGCTTAAGTACAGCATGACATCTGGGCCTGGACCCCTCCTGCAAAAAGGGCTAAGTGAAAAAGCTGATTTGCTCACTTAGACACGAGTGGAATAGATTCTTGTCTTAGCACAAGAGAGAATTCAGTGAGTCAGTGGAGTGCTAAGCAAGGTAGCAAGGTTTAACGGGGCACCTCTCTAGACCAGATCTGAGAGAGAGTGACTAGTTGGCATTTACACTGGGGTTTCTAAGGGAATAAGGTCCAGCTCCTCCTGGACAAAGGGTTTGTTGACTGTAAATTACAGAAAGTTCCTGCAAAGCTTTTACTACCTGGTGTTATCAGACTAAGCAACCTACTGGACGTGGTCAGAAGCAGTTCCCTGGGGTGCCTTCCCTGGGGGAAGGCTGTGAAAGCTTTATTGTCCAAAGTTATTGGGCCAACTAGCTTACCTGGTGCCAAGTAAAAGTGATCCCCCTTGCAGGAAGGTGGGACTACTTGCAGAGATACTGGGGTAAGGGCAGCACTTTAATAGCTTAAAATATTGGACTGCTTCCTTTTTACAGAAACTTGTTTTCAAGCCCTCACTCACACACAGGCTACTTCTAACAGCTTAATAATTTCAACTATGGAACTCTTTGCAACTTGCCTTGTATTCCCAACCCCCACTGTTTCCATCTGCTCTTGCTTTAGGCTTCCATATCACATATAGGTTGTGACTCCTAAGTTGTTGAACCAATGAGGGAGTGGGAGAAGAGGTCCCTGCATAGCAGCCTAAAGGAGCTGAATGCCTGCAGCTTCCACCAGCTGGTGAATTATCTATTCTGAGCCCAGGGCCTAGAAGCCCATTGGATAAGAAGAGAAGTCACAAGCCCCAGAGTCATGGATCCTGAGCAGAGCTGAGGCTCTGGGACCTCTGGACATTTTCCTGACTTGCCTGAGTCCCCTTTGGAACTGCTACGAGAATCAAACAAGCTCATCAATTTCTTTTTTAACTTCCTTATAAACAATCAGGTCAGCACCTGCTGTTTGATAGTTTGAGCTTCTACACATTAGGAGATGCAAACAGGCCTGGAGATAAACCCTAGGTGACTTGGAGAAGTTGGGACAGTTTCTGTACAGAGACACCAGCTATATTGGAGCTGTTGAGTCTAGAAAGAACAGAGAGGATAAGCAGGTTCCAGCTTCATAATACCTGAGAAGAGGGAAGCCACTGCATTCCACTTAAGATCAGGAAGTTGCCTTGGACGAGTTAATTTAGCCCCCTCTGAGATTCCATTAAAATGTTCATGTACAGGAGAATGGCAATGGTGAGTTGATCCTGCAAGGATGAACTGGCCTAATAACGAATGTCCTAATTCTTATGAGGATTAAATGACCTGGTGCAAGAGAAGAGGAACTACAGGTGACACAGGAGGAACCCTTAGTCATCAGCTGTGAAACCGTTAACTGAAGCTCAGCATGCACATTGCCCTGATCCTTTGCATTCAAAGAAAAACATGGTGGTAGAAAGTCATAAAAAGGAGAGGGACCTCACTCAGAGCCTGCAAACTGATGATGTCTGTCACTCCCAAGCCAATCAATGTGAGTAACTGCAGTTCGTCAGTCTGCACGTGGGCATAGCAATGGAGCTGGGCAGCAGCTGCCCCTTTTCTTTCATTGTTTTAACTTCCTATTGTGGAAATTATCCAGCATTTGCCAACGTAGAAGAAACATAATGATCCCCCAGGTACCCTCATTCCGCTTCAGTAATTATCAGCACATGGCCAATCTTGTCTCCTTCCAGCTGCCTCCCTTCGACAGGCCTTGGCAAAGCCAGCTCCCACGTGCAGCGGCCTCATTCAGCTCCTTGCTCATTCTTTCCTCCATGAAAAATGGAGTAGCCTCTTAAGTGTCATTTCATCTGGCTGTAGCCTTCCTCCCATTGGACTAGATCATTTATGTCTGCAATTTACCCCCATGGAGCATTTCTTAGCATTTTTATCTTCTCTGACTCTTCCCTAAATACTTTCATTTCTTCCCTTGCCCACAATAGATTTGTTTGTGAACCGGGATACAATAGACGTGTACAGATCAATGTGAAGCTTCAGACATGAGGTTAAATACATGGTCCCCTTCTCATCCAGCCATAAACTCGTAGCAGACCCAAATGATGCCATCATCCCCAGGTCCCTTATACAAATTAATACTTTCTACTGAGTTGCCACTTAACAAGTCACTTCGCTGCTAGTGAGGGAGTCCGGGCACGGGAAGAAGACAAAAGGAGAGCCGTCAACTTTGGCTGTGGCTGACATGGAACCAAGGCCTGTGGTATATTCTCCCAGCCCCCACATAATGCTTACCACACACCGTGCATAGCAGTATGTTGATTGTCACTGAGAGGGGAAGAGCCACCTGCTGACACATGGAAAATGCTCAGGTTGAATCTCTTGTGGCTTTTGCTGTTGCCAGAAACCCTCCACTGAGATACAGCTGAACCCTGGGCTGTGTCTTTAGCTGGTGTCTAATTTGTGGGGCTGGCAGCCTGAAATGTAGTTACAGCAAATGATCCTAATCTCTGAGTTGAATTTCAGAGGAGAACTGCTTTGATGGATGCCATAATTACATGCAGCAGGTACTTATTATGCATTTACTATATGCAAAGCATTTCAAGTATTGGCAACACGTGCCCAAAGCTGAGAACATAATGACAGTCGTTTGCATTTGCATTGTGCTTTGCATGTCTCATCTAGAATATTAACAGAGAAGCATCATTGAATGCCCATGTGCACCAGACACTCTGTCAGTAAAAGCCTCAAGATACTCCCCATGTTACTTTAGATGAGATGCTGAGGATGAGCTGTATCTCACAGATTAGCTGAGGGCCACACCACCAGTGGAGCAGCTGGGCTTGCCATTCCTTGCCCCCTTTGGTTTGACCACTACACCAGCCTGCCGCTCTAACATAAATGATAACTTGCTATCATAGTCAGTATTGTTTTCCTTTCATGATATCAATGCCCAAAGTGGTTTTTCCCAACTGGCAGTAAGTAAGTAGCAAGGCTCAAAGATAGATCTTGGCTCCATAGTCAGTGTGCTTCCTAATCAAGGGCTTGCTGCCCTGAAGCCACAGATGCCCACTGCTGAGAAGCAGCTTGATGGCAGGGTCCCAGTCTTCCTTCATTGCTTCTGGCATATTTCTCAGGGGTTGGGAGTATTTCCTATACCTAGGTACAAAATTCTGCACTCAGTGTTCTGTTTTCCAAGGATACCTAATAAATCACTCCTAATGAAGTAAGGGACAACATCCCAGACATGCTTGAGCACTATGAAGAAAGAAGAAAGGCATTCTTGCCACTTGTGATCCTGTGTGGAAGGTGGGAGGAATAGTTAACTATGTGAACCACGTTTGGAGATGTTAAGAGGAAAGATGCAAAAACACATTTCATGATTGCTGAGTAAAGTCCATGAAGCACTGACAATTGTAAGATCACTGGACTAGCACTGGGTAAACATCAATATTTTAGTGCCTGGCAAAGTGATGAACACCTGCAGGTAGGCATGGAGAACTGTACTGCATGCCCAGGGTTGGGTTATATTGGTCATAATGCTTCGCTGTCTCTCCCTTAGGAAGACAGTTGCATAATCTGTTGCAGTGCTTGGGCAAGAACAAACACCTTGTAAGGTACACCTTGAAGCAGTGATCTCATCATCATCACACATTAGACATTACACAGGAGAGGCATTGGGCCCTCAAAAAGTGAAACCCAGTTCTCCTGCTCTAAGGCACCACTTTCTGGAAACTCCTGAACAGCTAAGAAGCATAGGATGTGCACACCTCCTTCCATTCCCTCCCAGCCCTCCAGCATCTGTTCACCCGAGGTGCATTCCAAACCTGGACCAGTTGTGACTTGTCAGGGAGACATTCACAGCCTGGCTATCAGCTGGCTCCCACAAAGCACCTGCAGGCTCTACTGTCTTATATAATTAGGTGTTTTAATGGATTCTGAATGCTCAGCCAGGACTGTTACACTGGCTGAGGCCAGACATAGACAGTATGGCCCGACTGCACCTGTGGCCTTCCCAAGGGTGTGCTTTTTGTTATGAAAGGGGCAGAGGCTGGGGCCACGCACCTGGGTCTTTTGCACTGGACAAGGAGCCTAAATTTACCTTGCCAACTCATCATAACTAACAATGATGTCCCACTTTTCCTTAGAATGGCACTGGAAAATTATTGGACTCCACATCACACCTGTCATTGCGATGACTCTTCTTTGCCCATTCAGCATTCTTTAGTAAGAAATCCTCCACAGGAGAAGGAGGAGTTAAGCAGGTTTGCTCCGTGAGGAAACCAGTTGCTGCAACAAAAAGTACAGATGTCCCAAAACTATGGTTCTTTGATTAGATGGAATTATGCCAAGCTAAATAGTAATGTGTGTGTGTGTACATATATCATTATTATTTAATAAATTCAAGGTATTCAAGATTTGTGCATGAAAGCATGGGATTCTTTGGAGAAAAAGTATAGTCCACCTGTAAAAGGAAAAAAAAAAAGCTGGTTAAAATGCACTATTCAACCTAATTTTCTTACTGGCTTACCTCTTCTCAACCATCCTGCCCCATCCTTAGGAACTCCAAAGGTAGGAAGCAGTCTCCAAGAATAGTTCTCTGTGTTATTAATGACTGCTAAGGAAGTAAGACGCACAAAGACATCAGACAGTACGCCTGTGTGGAAGAGCATGTTGGAAAGTGAAGCAAGAGGGGGCACTGAGAAAGACAAGGTTAGGGCAGCCATTTGGCTTAGCAGGAGGTCTGCATCCTGGGTTAGAGAGCCTGGGATCCATTCCCAGCTCTAGCTCTTAGCTCCAACTTCCTGCTAATGCAGTGATGGCTGGCTCAAGTAGTTTAGTTTCTGCCTGGTGTGTATTCCAGACTCCTGGATTTAGCCGTGGCCATTGCAAACAATTAGAGAGTAAGTTAACACAAATGAAAACAATTTGTCTATCTCAATCATACCTGTCTCTACTGATTGATCAATCACTTTCGAAGAAAAATAGCACAAGCTATTTATATGGGCCAGGAACTTCACTAGTTACCCAAAGCCTGGTAATGAGCAAGGCAAGATTCTGGACTTGTGGAACTGTATCCAGTATAGCCTTCTCTCATAGATGAGGTATACCCCCTTTCCACTGCCCACTACAGTGGCTACTGCTTCATAAACAGGCGAGTACTGATATTTGGTCTTATTTATAGCATGTGGCCAGCGGTTAGCCTCTTGGCAAGCCCAGCTCTAAGGGAGTGGTTGTGCAGATAAAAGCGAGGGGAGCCCCAAAGGTCACCCTCAAGTGCTAAGAAAGACAAACTACAGGGAAAGCAAGCCTTTTCCTGGACCTGATGAGATGCCTTTCTGGGAGTAAGGATGGCTTTTTAGCCATCACTATTCCCCTCTTTAAAAATCACCTGCTTCCTAAGCTAAAATTAACACCTCATTTCCCTGAAAATTCATCCTCTTTGCGTCTTTTCTGCTGGACACAGGACAGCAATTGGACGATCATGACCTGTGATGTAACTGGGAGAGTAGCTGGAGGGGACTCAGGACCACCAATCCTCAGTATTTATGATGTCAGCCAACTTTAGAAAATATTTTCTAAAGGGTAAAGAGGGGATAATTGTAAGGCTCGAGTTTAGGTTCAGAACCAGGAAATGATGCAGAATAAAATTCAGCTCAAAGCAAGCTTTATTGGGAGTGCTCCCAGGTGAGGTTCCCTAGTCCAGCACAGACAGGGGGCCAGAGAATTTGCACCCAGGGAACATGAGGTGTCGTTTTTATCAGGGAGCTAAAATAAGAAGCAAGAGTGGAGTTTGGGAGACAAAGGAATGCACCTTATACGGTGCTGTGGAATGCTGTAAGTTCCTTCTGCCCTTGGTGCATCCATATGTCGCTGCTCGGGTGAGGGGGGCTGCATTCGTTAGGTCTTCAGGTTCAGTGTACCAGCCACCTCCCTCGGCCTACTGCTGGACTACTCCCCGCCCACCCTGGCTGGGCCCTGTGATAATCAAGTATTGTAGACTTTTCTTTTGCAAGAATGTAGACTTCTCTTTCTAAACAATACAACAACTATTTTCATAGCATCTACATGATGTATAGAAGATGTGTACAGTTTATATGCAAATACTGTGCCATCTTATAAAAAGGATTTGATCATCCTGCACTCTGCTATATGAGAGGGTCCTGGAACCAATCCTTAGCAGGTGCTGAAGGGCAATTGTGTATGGTTCCTTCAAGCTGCAATGGAGTAGCATGGCATGAGACTGCTGGGGAGGTGCTGGGATTAAAATGGCTAAGATCTGTGGCAGGAGGCTTGACCCCTAGTTTGGGATCTGACATCCATTCCATGACTCTCTCCCTCCCTGCAAGCTACTCTGCACAGACCCCTACCTCTGCTGTAGCCACTGACTTCAGGCTAATGAAACAGCCTAATTCTCTCTATCTGCTGGGTGGAAGTAGAGACTCCACAGCCCATGGAAGTGCCTAGGCTATTGCAACTGGACAGTACGCCCCTTTGTATTTTCCGGAGCCCCTAAAAGGTTCAAGCACCTGCCCAAGGTCACACTATGACACAGTCAGGGCTGGAAACCCTCACTGTACCACCTGCTCAGTCTTCCTACAAGGCTGCACTGGAGTCAGACAGGGGAAAGACATGGACCTGTGAGCCCAGGGTCCTAGGGGAAGCTCTGCACACACTTGGACGGCCTTTGGCCATCTTTCTGGTGAAGCTCAGTTCCCTGTCAGACCTTTGACATCGGTGTGGGCTGCTCTGAAGCTCCAGATCTGATGAAAGGTGATGCCCGCTGTCCCCTCAAACTTCATGGTGCCTTGAACTCCGTTGAATGAGGAAGCACAAGATTCCTGCTGCACCTCTCCCCTCTCAGCTTCCTCATCTCCCTGACATAAACAAGACTCAGATTACCCAGATAGCAGCTGGCCTGCCCCCTTGCAACCTTCTGTGGAAACTTTGTTAATAAAGGACAACCAGGGTCAGGTTCTCAGTTTGGAGGTAGGTAACTGGGGCTGGAGCACTTGCAGTGTTCATCTGGCACTGAGGGACTTGACCAAGTAAGCTTCGGAAGAGCCTTTGGCAGGAATGGAGATGACTCTGCAGAGAACAGACCCCTGATCTGCTTCCTGAACTTCTTTCCACCCAACATGAGTGGCTTTATCAACCTAGGAGGAAACCAGACAGTCGGAAGTGACTCATGGAGGATCCTTGAACAGGAGACCCAAATCCACTTAGTTTTGGTCAACTTACATTCAAGACCCTATATTTCAAAGACTGAGCTTTAGAAAACCCACTTGTAAGTCTCATGGTTAAGGACATACCTGGTGGAAACAGGTAACTAATTAGAATCCGCTTTGCTGCTTGTACTCATTGGCTGGTTTGATTGCCTGTTTCCTGGGGTTTACAGCTAATTGCAGCAGTCTTTTGTATCTAAACATTGGAACATCCATTGCTCATTATACCATGAAGAGCACTGGATGCAGGTGTTCTTGGGCAATGCATCAGCTGGTGAAGGAAGGGGGTCAACTCATTAGGATGGAAAGCACCGAGTCCAATGTCGACATAACTGCTACCATGTGCCGGCCCCACAGCAATCAAGGCTGACTGCGTGCAGGATGATGTCTCAATGTGGCATTGAGAACGCACTGCGCAGAAAATTCTTAAGAGGTTTTGGCCTCAGATCCCAGGCAGTGCTACTTAGACCTGATCAGGTCCTCTGTCTTGCAAAAAACATGGGTCCCTATCTCCATAAACAGAGCCAGCGACTGGATGGGATTCCCAAGTGTGTGTGTTTGCCAGCTGTAGTCCAATCCTGCTTACTTCTCTAAGCTTAAGTATCCTCATCTTTCAAATGTGCCCCAGAGATCTACCTAGAGGGTTAAAGAAGATACCATTGCATGAGCAAACCTACCTAGCACAGTGACTGGCAATGCTTCTTCCCTTTCCTGACTCATCCCTAGGTCTCCAGGGTCTAGTTCCTAAATTCCAGGGGCCATTTTAGTCATTTGCAAGCTTCCTTCCCTTCCTATTACACAGGGTCTCAGATGTTATCAAAAGCTGTGATATCCCAGGGCTGAGGGAGAGCCTAGAGGAAGTCAAAGAAGGAAGTTTGACTCCCATGTGGGAGGACCCTAGTCTGCAGGAAGAACAACACAGCTGTGCTGCCATGACAACAATGTTGGGCCAGTGGCAACCAGGAAGCCATCTCGCAAAGTTGCTCCCTATGCTCCCTGTGCAGGGGGAGTCCACGGTCTCCCAGCAGATTAGCTCAAGAAGCTGCAAAGGTGAGGTCACTGTTGTGGTGCCGCACGTTAAGCCTCTGTCTACAATGCCACATCCCATAGGAGTACCAGTTCATGGCTTGGCTGCTCCAATTCTGATTCAGTTCCTTGCTAATGCACCTGGGAAAGCAGTAGAAGATGCTGCTTGAGTCCCTGACACCCCTATGGGAGACACAAAAGAAATGTTTGGCTTCTGGCTACAGCTCAGCCCAGCCCTGACAATTACAATCATTCAAAGAGTGAACCAGTAGATGGAAGCTTGTTCTCTCTCTCTGTAATTCTGACATTCAAATAGATAAGTAAATCTTCTAAAGAAGATGTACTAGGTTCAAAGGAAATCAGGTAGCAGGTGTAAACAGAAAAGGCAGAGACATAACCTAGTCATTTACAGACAGCTCAATTTGGGAACTTAGAGCTGGCTTCCTGCCCTCAAACTAAGTTCCTCATCAAATTGAACTAAACCATGGCCCGAAATTCTCTGAATATTGCATCATCTTAACACACAGTATCAGATCCTACGTATTTCAGCCTACACACCATCCAGAGGTCTTTAAAATAAAAGCCAGAGAAAATGAATCTCACAAATTCTTACTTGAATTCCATTTTTTTTCACTAAAAAAAAAAATTTAATTCCACTTTCCATGAACCTGTTGAATACTCCATGTGTACACTCCATGTGTACACATACACACGTACAAAAACATTTGCTTTACACTCAGGAGTACCTTGTGCGATACCAGGTGTATTACAGCAGATGTCATATACTGAATGTTTAGGTTCCCGCAAAATTTGTATGTTGATGTCCTGGCCCCTATTGCAGTGGCAATGGAGGTGGGGACTTTGCAAGTAAAAGATTAGCTGGTGATAGTGGATAACCCCAGCGGAGGTGATTAGTGTCCAAAGAGCTTTCTCGCGGCCTTCCCATGTGAAGAGACAAGGAGAAGTCTACACTGCAACAGAGGTCTCTCACCAGAGCCCAATCCCTAACCTTGGCCTCCAGGCTCCAGAACTGTGAGGAAGAAATATCTAATATTTAAAAGGCACCCAGCCTCTTTTACTTTTATAGAAAAGTCCAAAGAAACTCAGACAGCAGACATCCCATCATTTCAGGTATCTTAGGTAACAGGGCACTAAACAAGCAGGCTGAATTTTTTCTGTCCATAATATAAATTCATAATGGCTTTCCAGTACTTATTTCCATTCCTACTGAGGTGTTGGGGGAGGAGCACGCAAGAAGTGTAAAGGTTCCACATGTGCAGAATGCCAAGGGCAAGACAAGGCTTTATTTAACAATATTCAGCCAGTCTTGTAAGTTGAGGCTTCCTCAAGGCCCACAGTCCGTCCGGCCAGAGCTTCAGTGTGCTGCAGACAGACCAAAGCTCAAGATGCATGTTCACTGAGCCCAGGAACCGAGGCAGAGAAAAAAGGGAAGACATGGTGGGAAGGGGAGCTGTAGTTGGACAGCAAGTCAATAGCTACTTGGAGGATCTGGGTCCCGTCTCACCTCCTGGAATGTTCAGTAAAGTCCAATTTGTAATATAGAAAGTACCTTCATAGAAGGGGAAGCAGTAAATCATTTCAGACAATTGAGGCTGACCTCTCCTAGCAGCTTAGCAGCATTGGGCCAGATGGGCTAGAATGCCATGGGATTTCAGTTGCACAGTAGAACTATGAAGAACCAGCCAAGTGCTGTCAAAGATTTTGTCCAGTAGGACCCCAATGACCTGAGAATCAGTGGCAGTCCTAGAGAGGACACCAACCAGCTGTGGAACACAGTCCTGGTACCAAGCTCTGCGCTGGCCACTTCTTGTAACCTCAACAAACTGGAGACTGAGCTCAGAGAGGCAAGTCTGTCTGATTATGGAGCCTGTTTTCTTGCCACCCTCTTCTGCTGCTTTCCTTCCAGTGCCCAAGCTGGCACTCTCGTTCTAGAGTAATCTGCTTCAAGTTTTACCTGGTGACAGGAATGATATGAGATGCATTTATGATGTGGGCATCAGACTAGCAGTTTCTATTGGTTCCAGAATTGGGTCTTTTCATCTCCTGCATTAAATGCCTGCAACACCCTGTTGGTGCCTAGCTTGACTACACCGATTCATACCAACCAATGCACTGTGTTTTTTCCCTGCCCTATCTCCTGCCTGGAAAATCTGGCTGTTTTCCACTACTTGCTACTGGAAACCGAGTAGGTTAAGATGCACCTATGTGTTATTTCAACTTCCATCCACCAACAGTCCAACTTTCTGCTCAGTCTCACAATGTCACAGTCAAGGTGCTGGCCAGGCCACATTTTCACTTGGAAGATTGATGAGGCTCTACTTCCAAGCTATTCAAGTTGTTGAAAGACTTCATTTCGTTCTGGGTGTGTAACTGAGGAGCCCAGATTTTTGCTGGATGTGGATTAGAAATTTCCCTCAGGTCCTGCAGGCTGACTGTTATTTCCCTGACAAGTATCTTTCTCCACAGGCAGTTGACAACACACTACTTCTTCATGACCTGCAGGAATCTGAGTCACTTAGATGGACTCGCAGAAGCAGCATCCCATCACCTTTGCTCTTATCAGAAGAAAGTCATGGGACAGGGGGTCAGTAGGAAGAGCACAAATGGCACAACAGCTAAGACCTTGCTTGTGATGCCAGCTTTCACACTAGCCCAGCTACAGCTATTACTGGCATTTGCCCACTATACTCACCTATGTATAGCATGGAGGCATGATACTCACTACCTAATTGGTATAAGAATTAAATGAGATGGAGCTAGCATGGTGATATGATAGATTAAGCTGCCACCTGCAATGCATGCCAACATTCCATATGAAAACTAGCTCAAGTCCTGGTTGCTCTACTTCCAATCCTGTTCTTTGCTGACATCAGCTCCTGGGAAAGTGGCAGAAGGCAACCCAAGTCCTTGGGCCTTTACCTTTATATGGGAGACCTGGGTTGAGTTCCGGGCTCCTGTTGTCCAGGCCATTGCTGTCATTTCAGGAGTGAAGCAGCAGATGGAAGATCCTCTCTTGCTCTGTAACTCTGCCTTGAGAGAGAGAGATGCCTTGAGAGAGAGAGAGAGCAAGTGAGAGAGAGATAAACTTTTTAAAAAGAATTAAATGAGAAGGTACCCATGAATGGCATAGCATTCAATAGGCACCTTGGTGATGTTAGCATCATCTCTTTCCTTTATCTCTTTGTGGAAATAATAGTGTAGTGACCTTCTTTATGGGTGGAAGCCATGCCTCTCTCTGTCTTCATACTCATAGCCTTTAGCAAAGTGTCTTACAACAGAGCTTGAATCAGTACATGCTTGCTTATCAAAGGGATGCTTAACTAAATAAAGGAATGAACTAACAAACTGTAGTAAAATGTTGGATTGAGAAAGCAATGCTGTCATTGTTTTCAAGAAAATCCCTACAGTAGACTGTCCCTCCACTACACATGGAAGCAGTCGCTACTGCTGCTGCTGTCATCATCTGCCCCCGATTCTCAGGCTTACGTGGGGCAGTATTTATATTTAAATATTTCGTGTAGGGCCTGGCCCTTTTTAAACACCTGATGAATGTCAGTCACCCATTGCTGGTGGATTGTAGTTTGAGGGGGCAGCAAAGATCCTGTGTGGTCTGCAATGGCTCTGCCTGGTCACGTACTTTTGTCTAACCCACCAGAGCTGTGCATCAGATGGAGCCTCTTCTGCAGCTTTGGGCTGAAACCATTTTAGAAGGCCTAAAAATCATCAGCATTTGAGTATTTTTAGCCAACTCTAGTGGTTTAGAGAGGGAGGGGTGGAAATGGAACGAGGGGGAGAGTGCCTGTTGTCATCTGCAACCTGAAATGACTCCTTGTTATCATCTGTTTCTCCCAAATCTGCTTTGTTGGCAGACTTGGGGATGAGAGCAGGGAGGGAACAAGGGAGGGAGAGGTTAAGGGGAAGGGTATGTTTTCATTCCCAACTTGGCAGTGACTGCAGTAAGGTGAGCCTCACCCTCTCCTTTTCTGAGCCCCCGGACAGGGAAGGGAGAGCACTAGCCCCATTAATGAGAGGTGTTGCATGAGGCCATTCACCTTTCTGTTGCAACTTTTCCTCTTCTATGAATGGAAAACAACCACGATGCTCTCCCCTCCACAAGATGCGTTATATCACTTTCAGCACAGCCTCACAAGGTAGTCACACGCCATGTTCCACCAAGAGCTCCATCCTTGTTCTCCTTGAGACCAGTCACACCTGCTGGGCTTCTCCAGGACCTTTGCACCTTTGAAACATGAAGGAGCTCCCCGTCAACCAGACACTAGCCTCCAAAGGTGTACGGGGGCTCCTCTGAGCCCTGTGCATTAGCCCTCCACTCTCCAAGGGACCACCACAGGTACACAACCTTTTTGTAAAAGAAAGAAAGCGAGAGAGAGAGAGAAGGAAGGAAGGAAGGGAGGGAGGGAGGGAGGGAGGAGGAAGGGAGGGAGGGAGGGAGGGAGGGAGGGAGGGAGGGAGGGAGGGAGGGAGAGAGAGAGAGAGAGAGAGAGAGAGAGAGAGAAAGAAAGAAAGAAAGAAAGAAAGAAAGAAAGAAAGAAAGAAAGAAAGAAAGAAAGAAAGAAAGAAAGAAAGAGAAAGAGACTTATTTAATTTTTATTGGAAAATCAGACTTACAGAGAGAAGGAGAGACAAAGAGAAAGATCTTCCATCCACTGGCTCACTCCCCAAGTGACCACAATGGCTAGAGCTGAGCTGATCCAAAGCCAGAGCCAACAGCTTCTTCTGGGCACATGCAAGGCAAGAATCTAGCCACTAAGCTATCTCACCAGGCCCCACACAACCTCTCTTATTGAGTGCTCATTTTAGCTCCAAACCAGTTGGCCTATCTCTGTGGAGTCAACGACCAACCCTGGTTCCTCCAGGAGGTCTGGTTTCGGTGGTGACCTGAATAACCTGTAACCTAGAAACAAGAGTCATAAATTCACCAGGTGTCTAGTAAACACCCACATTCCTCTTTCTAAGAGGAGGGTGTAGACAATGCTGAGAAAATGGCAGTGAAGTCCAGGGGAGGAATTGGTCATAAAAACAAACATTTATGGCCAGGAGACTGCACTAATAGTGAAATCCCTGATCTCACTTGGGATCAATGTGCCCTTGGCTTGTCGTTGTCCTTGGGCAAGACAGAGGCGCCTGCTGACTCTGCTTCTTGGGAGGGAGTAGGATTTACAGCAGTTCAACAAGTACAAGGATTGAACTTTGGAAACAGGAGCCTGCATCCTTAGGGATGTATTCAGGTGGCTTACTGTGCCAAGAGGGGAATAAAAGCCCCATGGGGATGTGTGGGTCCTGCAGGGAAAGGGCAGCCATCCTCCCTGCCTCTCCTCCAGGCTTGGCAACTGGAGTCTCCCAGCTCAGGGCTGTCCTGCTTGCCTTTGCACTCCTTCCCAGAGCACAAGCTTGCTTTCCCCACTGCTAACCCAAATGACTGCAGTGGTGGGACATGTTGCTCTCCTCCTGACAGAGCTTTTCAGTGATACCACCCCTTCCCTCCCCATCCCCCATGCCATCAAAACTCCCCTGTCAGGCTGGCTCCTGAGCACCTGCTTGTTCAGTCCTATTCCCCTTTCCAATAGACTTGTGCACCCTCCTTGCTGCTGGTGGTCTTCCCTGCTGTGCAGCCTGATCTGGAAAGCCTTTCCTTGGCACCTCCCTGGCTGGCCGTGGACAGAGAGGAGATCTGGGTCTTGTGGCCCCGTGCGGAAATATTTCTACCAGCACAGAACTTAAACATTTATTTTTGGGAAATGACAAAGCTTGATCTGGTGATGTGGTAACACACTAGGCATGTGTGTAAATGCTCTTTGTGTCAAATACTTAATCTAAGCAAGACACTGTGATGAGCTCTTTAAGGGTTATCTGACATTACACATCATTCTACCCTGTGATAGGTCGTTGTTCTGCCTGTGGAGACAATTGACAAAATGCATCTTAGAACAACTAACTTGTCCATGGTCCCACAGGTAGGCAGAGATTGGCTCCCAAGACTGTGCTCTTTTTTACACCTCAAACACTCCCACTTGCGCCTCTGTTCAAAAACATTAATCTTGGGTGGAAGAAAGGCATTGTCTTGCTTCTAGAGGGGAGCATAGCAGAAGCAAACAAGAGTGTGTTTTATTATGTCGCCACCCGTGGTCTAATGGCTGGTTTCCCAATTACCAACTGCCGCCTCCCTGCTGCAGAGGCCAGCACTCCAGCCCCTTCTGAGCAAGAACAAAGCAAGGCCTACGCTACAGGCGCCTGGGCTCTGCCACATAAAAACATCCGGGGAACTTTAACAGCATTTTCCCTGCTAATGACCACCTTAGGAGAGCTGCTCAATAGGCTTTCTGTGGGTTGAAAATTAAGAGTCTTATTAATAGGAGAGAATGAGGGGCGTCAGTGTAGGGTGAGGTTCTTCAGCTGAAAGGTCTGGTTAATCTCCCAAATAGCTCAATAATTTTTTTCCCTTCCTGATTAGCTTTACTTTTCAAAACCTAGAGCGTGTGCCTGGTGCAATAGCCTGGTGGCTAAATCCTTACCTTGCATTCGCCAGGAGTACCAGTTTATGTCTTTGGTGATACACTTCCCATCCAGCTCCCTGCCTGTGGCCTGGGAATGCAATAGATGACAGCTCAAAGGCTTGGGACCCTGTACCCACATGGGAGACCCAGAAGAAGCTTCAAACTCCAGGCTTCAGATCAGCTCAGCTCCAGCCACTGCAGTTGCTTGGGGAGTGAACCAGTGGGTGGAAGATCCACTCTTTG